ATAACTTTTATAGCTCTCCTCTGAACCCTTTCCAATAATTCAATGTTCTTTCTGAGATAAAAAACCCAAATCTGAACACAATACACCAAATGTGGCCAAACCTATACAATGACATTATAACCTCTTTAAACTTGTGTTCAGTATCTCTGTAGAGACAACCTAAAATCCTATTTATCCTGCCATTAGGAACAGCACTTAGCTTGGATGGTTTAAAGGGCCGATCAACCAGAACACCAAGATTATTTTCTTCCATAACACTGTAAAGATTTTTTCATAAAATTATATTCATGATTCAAACCATGATATCCCACATGCACTACCTTGCATTTACTACAATTACAAGCCATCAGCCATTTATTTGTCCAATTCACCAAACAATTCAAATCCTTTTTTAAGGCAGTAGTATTCACCTCACACTCAGAAACACCCAAAACTTTAATGTTATCAACAAATTTAAGTAATCTAGTGACCATTCCTTCATCTATGTCATTAATGTAAATTAAAAAGTGCAAAGGTCCTAACACTAAGCCCAGAGATACCCCATTCATAGCATTAATCTAGTTTTAATGAACTCCACTTTTGGCAACTTTGCTTTCTTCCATCTAGCCAGTTTTCTATCCAATGAGTTAACATATCCCCCACACCTATAAAGATTTTTTAACATTCTCGCTACAGGTTTAGTTGATTTGTGTGAGTCTGTAACCCCAAAGTGACCATCAGTTTCCATACAATAACTTTTAATATGTTTTATGTATCTTCACAAAATCTTGCAAAAATTAAACAATACAAATCTGTTGTATAAAAAAAATCAGATTTCTTAATTAAGTATTTTTACTAAAAATGTGTCCATAAATATATGAAGTCACAGTGTTGATTGCTTAGGGTACAAAGTGATTTTCATGTTAAGATCAAGAATACTTTTCTTCTTCCGCAAATTGTCATAATTCATTTGTGTAATCTCTAAAATCTCCTAAATAAATACCAAATATTTTTTTTCAATAAACCTTTATACTTTATCTGTTATCTTTTCCACTCTAACTCTATACGCATTCAGTCCATTTGACCAACCTCGTAACCACCATAATAAATATGAAATAAAACTAATTTATCCTTTTTGCTGTCTAGAATGACTGCAAATTATAACTGGATACTACAATTGTTTATCCTAACTAGCTTAAAGCTTATAGTATACACCTGTTTATATTTAATTTTATTGTTTTGTTGCCCTTTGACCTGTGTCTATCTAATAATTACACCA